AATCTTAATTTCCGGCTGTTTTCTCGCCACTGAATGGGCGTTCCAATTAAGGGCGTTGATGGTGAACGTGAAAGTTCGTCATGAAGTGCCTCATTTGCTACTAGTCGATGTGTGGGCATTCCCGCAGTTGACACAGGTTGGCTGCTTGTCCTTCATGTCCACGATGCATTGGGCAGTGACATGTTGTTGGCCGCATTTGGAGCAACTCGACTTCATATGGCAGTTGCGCGCGCCATGTCCGAAATTCAAGCAGCTGGTACACTGCGTCACTTCACGGTGGACCGGCTTGTACCGCTCACACTCGACGACGACACTGAGCAGCGTTCGGATGCTTTAAAGCTGCCTCATGTTTGTGGATCCGCCAACCAAATGCACCAGGTACAGTTGGTCGCGATACTTGATCGCCTCGTTGTGGCGTTTGATCACGAAAACCTTCACGGGTTGAAGGTTGTTGCGTTTCAGCTCTTCTTCCACAACCGAAACATCCAGCTCATGCAGCCCGCGTAGAATGACCTTGAAGGGCTTCATCGACTGCACGACGTGGGTGAAATATTCCACCTTCCAGAGTTGCAGTGTCTCCGCCACGGATTTATAATGTTCCACCGAGGGGACGGTGATTTTCACGGCATCAGCGTTTTCTGCTCCGCCCCATTCATAAAAAAAGCGGAGCTTAGAAAGTATTTTTTGAGCAGAATATGTAAAACAAAATGGACTTCGAATGTTAATCTAATTGCATATAAGAGGTACCAGATATGTTTTACGGTCAGTTGGATGCGAAGGATCGTCAAGCAGACGGTTCTCCGAAACGACGCAAGACCGCAGCTGAGAGAGTTCGGTGTTTTCAAGCCTTCGGTTTGTTTACAATTTCCTACTCGCGCATTAACATGATTTTCTGTATACTTTCCTAGTCACAACTTTCTTAAACAGAGCATAGTGGAAATAGATCAATTCTCATGTGATTTGAGGCATCGCACAATGGATTTTGATCAAAGTCTAAAACTGGCTACTTCCCAAGGGGCTTCCGGAAATTAACTGGATGTGGCCATCGTGATGCTGACTATTCCTTACGATTGCCATTGAACAGGTTGTTGAATTTTAATGTATTTAAATGCTTTTTGACCATATTCACAAACTGGCCACTTCTCTGGGGCATCGAAACATGGCCAGGTGTGGCCAATGTGGCACTAGGCCTCCCAAATGACTACCATGCAACTAGTTTTTGAATTCTAATGTGATTTGAGGTGTCACATGATAAGTTTTATTCGTTTGAGATCGTAATTAGCCTCATGCCTCATATAAACCACAGCATGTTCTGGTCAAATTTCCGGAACCGGTTGACCGATTCCAAAAAAATATGTTCTCTATGTGACCATAATACCTTTCATTTAGCGGCTGTTGATTGATTTATGATACTCGGTCCTGTGGGCTCTTAAGCATACAAATGGTACTTTATATAATAGGTCCAACCATGATGCACTTTTAGGTCCAACCATGATTCAAATTCATTGCTGAATAAAAACGTTCCTATTAGAGAACATAATGGATAATTATTAGAAACTAGAATGGTAGACTTTTTCCCCAAACACACATTTTTCATGTCCATATATGCATAGGAAAAATCCATTACCCTACACTAGGGCAAGTTGAAACGCGTGGGGAAGTTGAAACGGTAGATGTATCTGTTATCGGAAGTGAATAAACACTGAAATTATTTCTAATATAGTAGTTTGCAGTAGCACATAATGCCTCTCAAAAATAATTACAGTGAATATTCATTTTCGCTAAGAGATACACGTAACGTTTCAACTTACCCCGGTGTACCTTAACTATGATGCTTACTATCAAAACATTAAACAGGTGGAGAACCGGTATACAAGATTTGCTCTGACTTTGAAATTCAAGAACTGATTCCCCCTAATTTCAAATAATGTTGTACTAAACACCTACTAATTGGAAATCAGACGTTTGATTTGAGAATAAAAGTCACAGTATTCCTTCAAATTGGAGATGTTTTGATTCGCTATAAAGGTCAAAAGATAAAATGAGGGGTTCGTGGATTTTTCTATGTTTCGAGGGGTTGCATCGATTAGCTTGGGACCGAAGTAAGTACCAGAGCTGAGCCAAAAAGTTGAGCACGTTTCTTCGGGACCTTCTAGTCTTAGAGTTATCTCTACACACTTAAACAGAGACTCTGAGTTCGGTAAAAAAAAATTACCGCCTTAGATCGGTAATGCTAAATATTACAGATGTTTCGGTATTTTCTCGCTTTATTGCTGAAAACTGTAAATGAAATGACCGAATTTCGGTAATTTTATTTTAATTTACAGAAAACGGTAAATATTTTTACCGGCAGGTCTGTAAACCAGCTTCATCACTGAAGTTTCGGTAAACAAAGCATTCCATTACTGAGTTCGGTACACAGCAAAAAAATAATTTTGATATCACGTCAAAGTGGATGCACCACAATCATGTCGAAAATATGGTGTAATATTACTTGCTAAAAAGGACAAAATTCGACAGTGAGCATGCATAAGGGCCTATACGCGATGATCGATTCTCTTCATCGATTTTCTCTTTTGTTAATAACTCGCTAGATTTAACGTTTCTCGGTACGTTTGCTATTGCTTTTGATAGCTAATACAACTTGTTACAACTCTGCATTGAACAAATTCTAGAAAATTGTTTCGCTTAGCTGTAGCAATGCAAAGAGAAATTCGATGAAGAGAATCGATCATCGCGTATACGCCCTTATGAATGCTCACTGTCGAATTATCATTTATACAATGCATGGACTGACATTACGCTGCTTTTACTGCATTCGTTTATTTATGTGGTCATAAAAATTACATGAAATTTTCGACATGATTCTAGTGCATCCACTTTGATGTGATATCAAAATTATTTTTTTGCTGTGTAACGGTCTAGGTAAACGTCAAATCCATCATATTGTTATTTTCGATCGACATTAAAAGCGTTCGTGCTTGTGAAAAATAAAAAAGGTGAAATTATGGAGACTGTTATGCAACACCAAGATGAGCGAATCGTAGATATTTTCCGTAAATAATTAATTTCCGTTATCTAAATAAATCCCGATTACAGATGGCCGATGTTGTTGCTTGTTTTTTCAGCTGTCGGTCCAAGTTTCATTCCCGTTGGCGACGATCTGAAAACAGCATTTGGAATCTTCTTCCAATGCTTCCTTGTCTTCAGTGTAGCACCGAATCTTAAGTTTTTGTCGGGAAGATTCGGCGCTACACTGAAAACAAGAAAGTATTGGAAGAAGATTCCAAATGCTGTTTTCAGATACTCGCCAACGGTTTTGTTCATCGGTGGTGCAATTCGCAACACTAACTTATTGATCACGACTGCAGCCAAATTTTTGCATGGGTTGCAGTGACCGCCACCTTGATTACAGTTGAGTCGGTGACCTTTTTAAAAAATTACAGATCTTTAGGTAATTTTCGATTTGCATATCGTCCTCAAAATTACAGTTCTCCGGTAAAGTCGACTACAAATCAAGCAATGCACAGCGGTAAACGTTACCGATCGTTCGGTTAATTTGACAGCTAATTTTGCTGATCCAGTTTACAGATTTTTCGGTAATGTTCTCGATCACCGAAAACATTACCGACCGTTCAGCTGTTGAGAATTCGGTAAATGAATTACCGAAGTCGGTGATTTATTCTAAGTGTGTATGGTTATACCCCTTCCTCCCCTACTTCGCTGACATATGAACCAACATTTTGTTCAATATTGAAAGTACCGTCTTCTGATTCTTTTGATGACTGCCTGTTGCGTTATCATAAAATTCAATCTTCTCTGCTACAGAGACCTAATTTAAAACTAATGATGAAGCTACTGAAAAAAATTAACGTATTTTTTGGCAATTGTGTTATCTCACAACATGCATGGCATCTTTTTGAACTATACTGGGGTGCTACTCCAATATATATAACAGCTTGTTCAGGACCCCACATTTAAATTTTAATAATTTATTACATTCCACGAAAAGTACTTGAACCAACATTACACCATAACCGAAACATTGAAATACTTGAAAAATTTAAGATAAAGTATAATAGTCCAAAATACATGACATACATCAAATTTGTCATGTCTAGGAAACAACCCTTTAATTTTTTTTTCTAGATTGAACATACGCATACGATGTAAGAAGTTTACAAATGGCATGACATGCATGCCATTTGTTTTGAAAGTGATAAAGTGAATATATAACTTTGATGGCTTCTACACAACCAACTACTCAGGCTGATTAAAAACATACAACTTTTACTCAGCTAAAAACCCTAAAAGTCGTTTATTTTAAATACAGCTTGACGCCTCATAAATTAAATTCGTAAAGTGTTTATGTATACGAAAAATTTTACTTGGGTGTGTCAATATAATGAGAAATTTCGCCGATGTTACCAAATCATTATTTTGGTTAATTAAATTGTCCCACTAGATTGCATTCCTGGCCCACTGTGAGACAACGCAACTTTTTGTTCTTATTAATGCCTTTATTGTAAATTAATAATTCATTTAGACCACCAAATGTCATATGAAACCTTAAAATAAAAACATGCAAACATTCTTACAAAACCGTCAAAACTGAAACTTAACACATCAAAATCAATGATTCGGTTCACAACCCACGCCCACATGCTGTCACCCGTCTGTCGTCTTCACATTCAAAATATAGTAAATGTGCTTTTCTCCGCATGGTTGACCTCTTTCAGGCTGCTCTTATCATACCTACCATCCAACTATTGTGTATTGGTCAAGCTGTGTGGCAACTTTGTGACACGCTTTCGGTTCGCTTGGAGCCTTTCGTTAACGAAAACAACCAAATTGGCGTCTAATTTAGAGCAGTTTTAAAATTTATGAGCAACGTACAGACGATCGCACCCGCACAATCAATGATGAAATCGACTGCAACAGCTTCAAGAGACGACCCTTAGCTATAAAAAGTTTTTGTAAACTTTCTGTAGACAGCAGTCGTTTACAGTCCTTTTCTTAGCTCACTGGCACTTGGTGTGCGTGGGTTGTTCGGAGATACAAGATACAAGAAAGTGTGATATATTATGAAGGTGAATGAGCAGAAATTATTGTAGCGATCTAGAAAGACAAGTGCAATAACGATTATTTTTTTTCTGTTGTCGCAAATAGCTTTTTATCATTCTATCTGTGGTAGTTGCCCTTGCGGCCGGTGCGCCAGCAGTTGATCCGGAGAACCAGGGTAAATCAGTTGAGAAGCGCGGTCTGCATGACAGCCACTTTTCATTGGATCATCACCATCATGTGGAAAAGAAGGTGATTATCACCAAGAACGTCCCGGTGCCTTATCCAGTGGAGGTGGAGAAACACGTCAAGGTACCAGTGCCATTTCCGGTGCCAGTGGAGAAGAAGGTTCCAGTAGTTGTCGAGAAGACTGTTCCAGTTTACATCGAGAAGAAGGTCCATGTTCCAGTTGATCGTCCAGTTCCAGTTCCCTACAAGGTCCTAGTGAAAGTTCCCGTTGTACAGAAGGAGTACATCGAAGTCCCCAAGCCATATGCCGTTCACGTTGACAGGCCCTACCCAGTCTATGTGAAAAAGCCTGTCTACGTCGAGAAGCCAGTTGCCGTGTCGGTTAAGATCAGACATCACAAGCATTGAATTATGTAGCCGTTGACCTATGTTCTGTGTTTTTGTTAACATTCGATGAGCATTTGCGAGTATAGAATAGTTTGTGTAGATAAAATCAAAGTAAGTGTTGCTTAAAATTAAAAATTGTTTCAAATGCTTTCAAGTTTACGTGGGCTTTCAAAGAAATCATTTAATCTCTAAGAAAACAAATTTTATAGTCAGAAAAACAAACTGAATTGGAAGAATCACACCTTTTGAAGTCGATTCATAGCAGATCAAATGGAGGAAATGCTTCTATTATGGCCATGCTCCTATTTTGGCTGTGTTTGAGCTATTAAGCTGTGGTTAGATTGTTAATTTAAATTTTATTCATCGAGGTACCCAATCGCACCCAAAACGCAGGAAGAATGTGATTTAATCGTTTTTCTGAGCTATGAGCAAAATAGGAAGCTAAAACCAAAACTGGTGCACTTACCTAGTACAGAGATTTTGGGACATTAACATTTTAATATTTTTTTGGGTAGTTTGGTTTACGCCGGAATTTGAAATCCTTTTGGGGCTTCGTAAATACCAAGGCGGTAGAACCGGATATTCCGGACGGTAAATGCCGTTATATTTCGGAATCATATCAAGTGACATATCAAATCACATCTACTCGAAGAAATATTACCAATGGCACTCAAATAACAACTGTAGAGCCATATGGCCACCGTATAGCAGGCTCCACAATATTCAGGATTATGGTTTTAAACAATTAAATTTGTTATTTATCCCTCCCCTTGGCTAGTTTTTGCACCTTGCTGTTGGTGGGTGGGCTTAATTTCATGCTTTATAGTGGAGTGTTGGAGACGGTAGGTTTATGGTCGGCGTTGCTGGCTCATGCCGCGATAGAATGGCGACATGGGCAGGTAATGGGGATTACTAAGCTTCCCCTCTCTGATAAACCGCTGCATGAGAGAACCAAAGATCTAGTCTAGCAGTGATAGTATCACACTTGTTACTCCTTTTATTGAGAGCCGCGCCATAGTACGCTTACGTATAGGCACTGACGGTGGGTGTGATACTGGCGGGTTTTGCCGCAAATCACTCTTATTTTATTTATTTTTACGCAGATAGATTTATTGGGGTTTGCAAGGGAATTAAACTATTGAAATATTTCAGAAGGTGCCCAACGGTGCTCCTTCTATTTGCGTGGCAAGCTTTCATTGTTGTTTTCATTGAGGTATTACTCAGGGAACAATGTTAAACACCGTTTTTGTACATGGTATTGTAACTAATCTTATATGTGCGTCATTTTGATTTGGGATAAGTGTTTGAACTATGGCTGGGGATTTCCACTGTGGTGTGCTTCTATTGTAACATACCCATATGTATTTTTGTGGTGTGACATAGTGGAAACGTGAGAGCGTAATTGGAACATATACCCTATATAATTTAAAAATCAGCTAGAAAACTAACTTCAAAATGAAGCATTTTAGTCACATGAAGGTGTTACCTGGGTCGAACTAAGATAGGTAATAAATAGGTACCGTGCCGATTCAAATTTCGGACACTTAAACTCGAATTTCGGACACTTTTAAAAGTTGATTATCTCGGTCGAATATGATCCACATGTCTTGTAAATTTTAAATTTTTTTGACTTGTGCCCTCCACGATCATCTAACATTATTACTTTGTTTCTAACTGGATGTAATATATAATTAAAAATGAAAGTGTCCGAAATTTGAATCGTCCGAAATTTGAATCGGAACATTATAACCTTAAATCAAAAGTACTTGAAACACGTTTAATTTTAGATTACAAGCACAAGTGCCGGTACTTAATAAAGCATGGGTTATGATTGATTGGGTGAATTAGAGCTTTTAATAATTTATTAAATTAGACTAATGAGATATCATAATCATCAAATGAACTTAAATAAGAAACTTCAGAAAGTCTAATGACATTAAGTATATTAACAAAAGAATTAGGATGCGGGGGGTCCGCTTAGGGAGGCAATTAACCTTTAAAGTTGTAGAATAAATCTTCTTATTAAGTCTTGAACTTTAAAAAGAAAAAGCAGGCAGACCAATAGCATTAAGCAGATTTACAAGGAGATGAATAGTTTAGGAAATAAGAAAAGGAAAGGAATGTGACAATTAATAGCTTTTAAACATTTGGAGGTATTGTATTCCCCTGAGTTTGTTGTACTCGATTACTATAATATTCTCTCAATACGCGAAATCTCTTATATATGCGGTTAAAGCATTTGAGTTACCTTATTTCTTAGTGTTCAAGTACTTACATTTTTAAACAGCAGTCAATGTTAATCTATGCGAAAATTGCACGTATATACTAGTGAGAATTGCACGTAGTGAGAGTTTTCTGAACTACTTCACCAACGAAAAGATCTTGACTTCCTGAAGAACTTTGCCGAAGACAGTAGCTTTTATCTGGTAAGGTTCTAGAGATATTATATATATGGGAGAATTGTACATGAAGTGAAGTGAAAAACTTCTGAACTACTGTCCACCAACGAAAAGACCTTGACCTTCTGAACAACTTTGCCGAAGACAGTAACTTTCTATCTGGTCAGGATCTCAAGATATTTTATATTAGAATTTCATGTGTATACTAGCGCCGCGTATTGAGAAAATTTTGAACTATTGTGCTCTAAGTCATGGGTTTTGACCTCCTGAACAACTTTGTCGACGACAGTATCTTTCTATCTGGTAACGATCTCGAGATATATCATATTCGATAATTTCACATGTGCGCTACGTAGTGAGAAAATTCGGAACTACTTTCCACCAGTGAAAAGGTTATGATCTCTAGAACAACTTTTCCGAAGACAGTAACTTGCTATCTGGTCAGGATCTCGAGATTTTCCATGTTGTAACCAATTAAGTCAAATCCCACGTAGTACGGACACCGATAACGCGGTTTCCATTCATATTTTCTCTATTATCCGCATTTTTTTGGGGGTTAACTGTGATAAAAGTTAAGCTTGTTTAGTTAAAAATAAGTTTTTTAGGGAATACCCGTTGGTTTCATATCGATTGGTAGCTCGGCTGCAAAATGGCAATGGAAAACTCACACTGTTGAACAAAGTACAACGCGCGAGTACTCGTGTTACAAAAGTTGGCGCGAGTAACGGAGGGTTAACCACTTCAAATTAGTGAAAACGAATAGAAGATTAGGAATCAGATAGATGAAGACTAACTAACTACTCATTTTTTCCTTTTTTCAAGATCTTCCTCGGTGGACAAAGCCGAGTCTTGTCACTATCAACAAGGCATAAAAAGTAACAAGCACTACGATGCGTTCTTTTGATAACTGAAAAATCTTGTTTCCCTAGTTTGAAGTAGTCAGGAATCGGTGGTAGATCTTACATCCCGTAACGTACCACAAAAAGGTGATCTACCCACGTTACGCGGCGTCATCACTGACTTGGTTCTGTTTTGTTTTGACGTAGGACTGCGTCTGTGATTTCTATGTGAGAGTACACTTTGGGAAAACCGAAAATGGAACATAGAACGAAATTATGAAAGAGTTTGAACGTTAATAACTCAGCTGACCCTGGACCAATTTCAATAATTTATCACCAATCGATCAAAAATATGTCCACGCATCGATAATAATGCTTCTGACTGTTGATTTTTTTTTTAACAAGAAATTATAGAAAAAGTGGTAAATGTCAAACATTGTTCAAAAGCGTCGAAATAACTAACAAATCCACCAATAGTGTACATGCATATGCTGCTTCTCCAACACATTCGCCTCCGATCTTGGGGCGTCTGTGAATTGAAGAATCAAAGTGATGATTGACTCACAGGTGGCGAATGGGTGAAAATGGTAATGACGTTTTGATATCTGTCAAATTGCATGAAGGTTAGGTTAGGTTATCTCTATTAGCGAGACTTTCAGCCAGAGGCTGGCTCATCTCTTTAAATCGCATGATTTTTTTTTTTAGTACATCATCATTTTTTGTAATTGTGGATCTTAAAACTAAGTTTTGCATAACCAGTTTTGACTTTGCTTTGATTCGCCAATAGGGAGGATGCAATTGCGTAACATTTTGCACACTCATCGCCATATTCAGATCTACACCCCTTCAACGACCACACAAAATGCTCTTCAGAATTGTAATCTTGTAACCAAACTTGGAAGCAGGCGTGCAAGTGATTTTAATCGATTCTCTTCATCGACTTTATGTTTCGTTCATAACTCGACGGCAAACACATTCATTGATACGTTTGCTGTTCTGCATTATAGAAGAGCATAGCAGAAATATTGCGAAATAGGTTAGTGCAACCATGGTCATCCGAGGAGGAAATCGAGGAAGATAATTGACTTTCACCCATCTGCTTCTAAACTCCTTAATTCAGTCTTCGTTATAGTAATGAAAACTAGCATTGCAACGCTTTTGGTTCTTGGGTTATACTTGCTGGTTGCATTTCTGCTGTGCGACATTTTCGAAGGACCACCAAAAGACCAAAAGGACCCTAAAAATTTTGCCAGTTATTCGATTAAATATTTATCGAATTTTCAATTATTCGAGCGCGTAACCGACATCCCTTCTTAATTCCACTCGTTTGATTTAGCGCAGTAGAGAAAATAAATAAAAGTACTAATTTATCTGATCAGGCATCGAAAAGAACAATGACGTGAAATAGGATCATAAATTCGCCGAAAAAAGTGTTAAACGTCTTTTTGCTAAAGGCTAAGATTTACAAACATGTTGAGAGAAGGAGTTTACGAGAAAAACTAAAAAGGGGAGGAGCTTTAGCTGGGTGGACACTGATATTCTACCAGCTGTTTCTAAACGCATAATTTAGTGTAGAAAGGCACAGCAGATGAAGTGTATGATAAAATACCCAAAATGGGTGGTGCATGATTTTCTAGTTTTCGAAAAATTATTATTTTATCATGTCCGATTGACAAGCGACAAAACTGAAAAAAGAAGAAAAACTTCAGCTGATATGCCCTTAATTGTTGCTTTCGTCCATACATTAGCTGAATCCTGAAGCAACCGGACCGAGACTCTTCTGAGTGCCCATTTCACGTAGCGAAGTTGAGGTATCATTCGCTGCGCCTTTCCAACCACCGGAT